CGAGGAGGCTGTGCTTGAAGAGGGGGGGGGGGGGCGGGGGGCGGGGCCGACGGCAGGAGACGACGGGTAAGTGGATGCCCCAAAGTGACCGAGGTACGGGGCCGCTCGAGGCACATGCACGCACGAACTGGTCTGGCACACATCGGACGGGGAATACTGGTGCTGCTGAAGGCGGAATGCCACGCCACGCTTCAGCAGGGTGACCAGGCGCGCGGGTGGTGGAGCTGAGATTGTGTTTGTGTTTGCGTGCGTGGCGGTGTGGCGGTGTGTGAGTTAGAGTTTAAAAGAGCATTTGAAGGGAGCCCAGGGGGGAGCCCATGGACATGTGTATACACACACAGAGAGAGAGAGAGAGAGGAGAGGAGAGGAGGAGGGGAATTAAGGGCGTTAAAGAGGCAGGCAGGGGGAAGGGCGCGAACAAAGGGACATACCGAGCTCATCATCGGCCCACTTGCCCCAATGGCCCAGGAGCTGCCCGGTGGCAACCTCATCCACCAGGTCCGGGCTGAAGAGGACAATGATCCGGTCACGGCCGCCAGTGACGCCGGGCCAATCAGCCAAGTACGGGGCCTCGGCCACCGAGGCGCAGGTGAGAACACGACAGAGCTCCCGGAAGTCGTCCGGGTGAAAGCGATGCGCGCAGTAGGCCGGCGCCGGGCCCGGTGGCCAGAGGGGCTTGATCCGGTGCGTGAGCAGAGCCAGGGCGCGGGATGGCTCGCCGAGGTCGACCAGCTCCAGGAACTGCTGGCGCAGTAGCGTGTACAGGAGGAAGGAACTCGGCGGGGCCAGCTCCAGCGCGGCCAGGAGCTCGGGCAGGGGGGGCTGGTGCTCGTCCGCAGGGGGGCCGGCTTGGGGGATGGCGGCAGCGGCCGCGGCCGCGGCGGTTGCGCTGCCAGTGGCGCCGGCCGCGCCGGGAATGCCCCCGCTGCTGATGGCGGAAGTACCCGCGCCGGGGGCCATCCCGCCGGCAGGGCCGCCCGGTGCCACGGACCCGGACACCGGCGCCTCGATGGGTAGCCCGGCGGCCGGGGCCAGCCCGAGCAGCACGGCCAGGCGCTCGGCCTCGGGCCAGTCGCCGGCACGGATGGCCGCGCGCAGGGCAGCGCGCGACCCGGGCCGCGAGGCGGCCACCTGTAGCCGGCGCTCCAGGGACCGATCTAGCTGGGCGGCCACGGCCTGCAAGTTGGCCTCGCGCAGGTAGGCCGCAATCATGCGGAGGATATCCTGCGGTTGTGGG